GAAAAAACAACTTTGAGAGTTCCTCATGGCTTCCAAAACAACCCAACAACTTCATACTCCTCTTCACTTTATTCTTAATTCCAAAATAACCTTTTTACTTGATGAAAATGTTAGTGTATTTGTTATCTTAATTCCAATTATTTTAGATTTTTATTTACACCAAATTCTTAAGTTTTGTATAATAAAAAGGGAATTATTAATATTTTAATATGGTTGTAAATTGTAATTAATACCGCTTACTTTGTATCACAAATTCGAAGAAAAAACCCGTAAAAAGCAGAGATTTTGGAAAAAGTTGGGTTGAGTGGGGACGAGAAACAAGTAGGAGGACGACATACTTGTGATTGTGTTTTGGTGATTTGGTCAGTCACACTTCCAGCTGTAACCCAAAACTTACTACATCATTCCCCTCACGTGTCATGTGATGAATTGTCGGCTCTTATGCTTATGCCTAAACACTAAACATATACTCTCTTTGCTTTTGTAAAGCTCATGGGCAATTCTTTAACCAATTTTGAAGCGCCCATGCTCGTTCCATATCTATTTGTTCTTTATCACAATTTGAAGATTCTCACCAAAATAAACTTTACAAAAAGAAATTAACTTGAGAGAAATAAAAAAACCAAAATGTATCACCCTTTTATTACAAACAAGGCTTAATTAAACACCACACAAAGTCCACTTTCGTTTTCTTTGGCCAAAATTCKATCGGTTTATCGCCTATACCGATGTCGTTTAATGTTGAAGTACAAATGCAGAATCCCACCTTCGAACGTGTATTTGTAACCTTTCTTATGAGAATACTCCCATTCTTTATTCACAATCCGGAACGCAATGTCTTCATAAGGCGGACCAGCACTGAACCGGATCATACAAGTTTCAGTGCTTGTCCCATCTTTTTCTATGGTGCAAGTGGGAGCCTTAACCTTGTCTATTAGATCCGGGTAAAAGATGTTAAACTTGTACCCTTGAACGGTTTTCGGAGGCGGGTTTTCGTGATCATAGTGAGTTTGGTTATACTTATTCCACTCGTAACCCGTGTGAACTCGGTTGAAATACTTTGGTTTTCTTGGCCGGTATACCTCGGAATTAAGGTTCACTTCAGCATTAAAGTCAAATACACCGTCACCTTCCTCCATTGCTCCCATTGCTTTGATTGCCTTAAGCTTCAAGTTATATTCTACATGTGTTTGTTTTGAGACCGTAACAGCTTCTTTAAGCCGTTTCTTCTGTCTCTCCAACACAACCATCCGTTCTGTTTCTAGTAGCTTCTTGTCTTCCTCGGGATCGATTGCTTCTTCAAGATCATAACCGTGCATTACCTCTGGCGAAAACGAACCATCCGCTTCTTCTTCCTTTGCTTCTGAAAGACTCGTATCGTTTATCTCCTCCTCGTTTTCTTGCTCCACACGTCCTCAGCCATGATTATCTTCTAGATGTCTTGTTAGCATCGTCTCAGCGTGTATTTCCTTCAAGAAAGCCTTTGCCTTGTATATCTCGAGGCGTTTAAGAACCGCTTCCCAATACTCTACTACTTTGGCTAACCCCGAACGCATCTGCGATTCGATGTGCAACTTAAGTTGTGCAAGCTCTGTGTAGGTCTTTCCATCAAGGAGTTTTCTCACGTCAGCTTCAACACTAGCGTGTAGTCCCCTCTCTTCTTCTGTCCCTCTAACTTTACGAGCTTCAGCTAACTCCCAATCGCATACCACAATAAGCGCCTCCCAATACTTTACGTGCGTTCGATCAAAATCCAGATATGTTTTGATATCATCACGAAGCTCTTCCATATCTTTAACATTGAGTCCCTTCAAAACCAGGTAGGGTTCATCCAATTGCTTGTAGAGGACGTCAATTGGTTTTGCTCTGCCTTTGCGTAATCTGATCTTTGACCTAACCTTGCTTTGATCGAAATCGAAATCTTGCTCTTTCTTCTCCCAATCCTGGAACTCAGCTTGAGTACGTTCTCTAGCCAATAATGCCATATCTTCCTCATGTCGAGCTTTCTCCATTGCTCTCTCGTCTTTCCTCTTCTTAATCTTTTCAACCTCTGCCATATTTTCCCTATGCCTTTTCCTCTCAGCTTTCATGGAATATTCATTAAGCGATGCTCCTTGGTGAATATCTTTTTCAACCTTCTTTTGCCACACGAATGTCTTCAGTTTCTTTGCTACACTTAGTGCCTTCTTTTGAGTTTTTTTGGCCAAATACTCTTTGATTTCTTCTTCTGAAAATTTCTTAGACGAAAATCTCTTGTTTTCACTTGAGCTTTTGGGTGGTGACGAATCATATGACTCGGACTCATCTATATGCTTCTTCTGCCTTCCATGTGTATCTCTCTTACTCTTACCATGAAAACCCATACGTTCTGAAATCAGTGGCCGTTAGGGTTAGGATTGTGAAGGCGGTGGAAACTTCTCCTCCACGACAATAAATCCAAGTGTTCGATTTTGTGATTTTAAAACGAAGAATTCTGAGCGTTTTGCTATCTTGGTAACATGTATTTGAATTTATTTCAGAATATCAACAAGATAAATTAAGGAAAATAGTTACCTATATACAAAAGGAAAAGGCTTAATTAGTTTCCAAAATTAAAGTGATTTCTTATTCTAATATTCCAACGAGACTTTTCCTTTTTTTTTTCATAGGTCATGTGATTAATCTCATATTCTTCTTCGGTGTAGGTTATTTGTAACTACCGTACGTTTTCAAATTTCAATCACTAGATTTACCATCTCTTCCCCGATCGGTTTTTCTTCACTCTCAAGAAGATGGGACAAAGCAACCTGCTAGAATAGATGCAACAAAGGTTCAGATTTAAGAGACTTTAACCCCAAAAAAAGAAGAAATTTATTTTTCTTAAGAGTTTTTGTATGTTTTATAAAAAGAGAAAAGTTGCTGATATGCCCTTAATTTTCTTAAGAATCTGAAATCAATACCAAATTTTCTAAGAATTAAAATCTACACAATTTTGCATTTTTTTGGGTTGAAAATACGTATAATTGCAATTGAGCCCTTAACCGAGAAATTAAAAATTATACTAGAAAAACTATAAAATAAATTAATTTGTCCCGCCAATTAATCAAAACCTCTTGTTTGTCCCGCCAATCAAAGGTTTTCAAATTTGTTAACAAAATGTGATAGCTTTTTGATATCATTATTGTAAATAGTATATCAAAAATTATGTTCTCAAATTGGATTCATATGTAAAAATATGTTGTTTGACAGAATTTCACCCTCTACAGCTCTACTTATACTCATGGAACTTCTTAGTCATAAAAAAGTATCATGTTATCCCTTGTATGAATTTTAAATTTTCCAAGTTGAAACTTTTTAGGGGATTGATGTTATCCCTATTTAATTTCTTCTCTCACATTTTCTTTCTACACTTTGTTTCATTTGATCAATGTAAACTGTTTGAAGAAGAAGAAATATTTTATATTCAATCAAAAAAACTGTTTTTTTCTCTTCTCTTTCTTGCGACAAACCCTAGTTTCTTACCCTTTTTGATGGCCGGAGACACCTCTCTCCAACCCCCTCCTCATCCTCCGAACCTTGGTCTAAGCTTAAGTCAGTTCCCACCTCTCTCTTCATCCCTACTTTGGATCTCATGGTACTATTGCTTCGCCGTGGGCTTCCCTCTTCAAGCTCATGCTACTTCTCACTTGGTCACTAATACTGTGGATTTAGTTCCTATGATTACTACTGCTTCTCAGGAGCAGGTTACTTCTCTCACTAAGGTTATATA